GTTCTGACTTCGTGAATAGAATGTGATCTTGGTGAGAATACATATTTTGCATTGGTCTGCATAGCGTGAATCTTGGCGAATCAAATATTTATTCATTATCTGTTTATATACATGATAAAGCTCATTCATTGAGTAAACATATGATTGTCCGATCTTTGGACATAAGAATTATATACATGATAAAGCTCATTCATTGAGTAAACATATGATTGTCCGATCTTTGGACATAAGAAATATATTCCCATCCTTCCTCGAGAAGATAATGAAAATCGTGGTTCTAATATATGACGATAATAATGTCTAATTGCACCAAGGAGATTTTGGCTATATCAAGGGAGGTGGCCGAAGAATTATTGAAGACTTTTTAAATTACTCGAGAGTTAAAGAAGAAAGACGACTTGACAGTTATTGATGACAAACAAATAACGAGGTTGCAAATCCATACGTCGGCGATCTTACTCCAATGTCTCATGCTGAAAACAGGGGGAGCGTGATCAACAATTTCAACACTTTACTCTTTTTCCTTCGTCCAAATTTTTATCCCAATGGGTTTTTCTTGGCAAGGTTTTAACGAGGGCAGTGTTACGCTCTAAAGATTTAAATGGATATGTACTCTTTTCTCCTTCGTTTAGGTTTTGTCCCATTGGGTTTTCCTAACAAGTGCCTCCATATATGGTGGACATCCAAGGGGGAGTGTTATGAATTCTTAAGTGTGGATGACCACCATTACTACCAACATCAAGCACCATTACTCCCACCATTTACTCACCATTATATGCCCATAACTCCTTGTAACTCATGACCTTTCATGGTCTTTCTTGTACTATATATAGTGCTCCATTGTATTGAGTTGGATACACAAGAAGAACACAAGAAGATATATTTGTTTCTCTCTATATTACTATGTTAATTCATCTTTGCTTTGTTCTTCTTTGTTAGTTTCTCAACAACTTTAAATTTGATTTTATATATAGTTAATTAAAATTATTTAATAAAAATATATGTATGTATGTGTAGTTGTGTATGTTGGAATAGAGAGATAAAAGGGGAAGAGGAGGTGGGAGTTGGAAGGGGCATTTAAAGGTATCTATACTAAGTCATTCAATTCTGCATTTAATCCAATTTAAGTCGAGTTAATGAAGGCAGGTAGACTTACCACATTCAATGCTGCTGCTACTTTCATGCAATGTGTTTATTTATATCTTTCTCAACATGCATATATATTTCACAATTTATTTATCTTGTCAAAATTATTATTATTAGTAGTAGTATTATTCACCTTTGTTACAAAAGTTTATTTAAAAGTAGAAGTCAGTGATTAACTGATTATGAGTTAAGTTCAAATTAAGTACGTAAGTTGGTGATGAAACTGTTTCTAAAAGATTTTGCAAACACCACCTTCAACATTTAATCACACTTCACTCCACCCCATTTCTAATATAGTTTCACCGCCCTTCAATATTATTCAACTACCTTCTTTTTCCCATCATGATTTCTACCAACTAATTTTTAATTATATGACCCAATTTTAATTACATCGTAATTCAAAATAGGGGTGTGCACGGGTCGGTTCGGTTCGGTTTTAGCCAAAAACCGAACCGAACCGAATATATCGGTTTTTGTAAAATTAAAAACCGTGTATGTCGGTTTTTTATCGGTTCGGTTTCTTTCGGTTTCGGTTCGGTTTCGGGTTTTTTCGGTTCGGTTTCGGTTATTTTTCGGTTCAAGTATCAATATATATTCAAGTTGTACAAACAAAAGAATACAATTACAATTACTTTCACAACTTACTAATGCAATGAAAATATAAAATCTTTAATTTCATAGGACTTAACGTAATTTAGATAATGTATTATGCTTCATTTTTTTTTCCTACTTTCATCTACCACATTATTAAAACCATGAACTCAAGTAAATTTTTACTTACTAAATAAATAAAATACAATGTCTCAATTTATGAACAAATGCTTAGAATGAGACAAGTAATTGAAAGATAGAAAATAAATATTAGGGTAAAATAATACATATATTATATAAAATGAAGTCATTTTATAGTTTCGGTTCGGTTCGGTTTTTCGGTTCGGTTATTTACCTTCCCACCATACCGAACCGAATAATTCGGTATTTCAAAAATAAAAAACCGTACATGCGGTTTGCTATTCGGTACGGTTTAAAACGGCTCGGTTTTTCGGTTCGGTTTTCGGTTTTTCGGTTTTTTTGCTCACCCCTAATTCAAAAGGAGGATAAATGAACCTATCATCGTTAAGAAGATTAAAATATTATATGACCACATAATTAAGCTAACACCTAACTGGTTCAATACTAGTTGATCACATAATTAATGGATTTTTTTTTTAAATTTGACAAATTAAAGTAGAGTAAAAAATAAATAAATAAATTGGATAAAATATTTTGTAATTTTATAAGGCAGCTTGGAATTCAAGAACACACAGACGTACAGAGATGGGCTTCTCAGTTTCACATTAAAAGCTCTGTTTCCCTTATAAACTCTATATCTTGCAACTGCACAGTGTTCATCTTTATATATTATATATATATATATATATATATATATATATATATATATATATATATATATATATATATATATATATGATAATGAACATCTTGTACTTTTTTACAAGGCCATATTTAATATATAGATAGTGTCAAATGTATATTGCATTTAAAGTGTCCTAACCCTATATATATATATGACCTGCACCATAAACATTGTCACCATTTTCCTATAAATAAATATCAAGAAAAGAGGGTAAACCAAAAATCTATTATTGTATCAGTTCATAAAAAAAAATGATATCTTTAGAAACACCAAAAAAAATCTCATCAAAGAAGAGAAAATGGGATGATGATGATGATGATCCACAGAAAATCAAAAGCCAGCCTCATTCTCCTCTCGAGTGGCAACAATGCCTCGATATAAAGGTGTATGTATATATATCTATGTATCTCTATATATATATATTCTCTTGCATAGATTCTTATATATAAATGAATGACTAACATAAATTATCTTTTTTTTTTTTGTGGCGATGTATATAACGACAGTCGGGGCAAATATACTTCTACAATACAAGAACTAATATCAAGAGGGCCACTTTGGAGGGATATAATAGTAATAGTAATAGTAATAATAATACAGCAGCTCCACTGAGCTTGGAGCTTGAGCTGAATCTACGTCCATGTAATGAATCTGTCGGGAAAAAAAATGACTCAATTTACAACTCGAAAGATGGTTTTAAAAAGTCGTCTACGGGTCCCACAGGAAGGCCTTCTTGGTTGGCGTTTGAAGGGAACGAAGAAGAAGAAGAAGAAGAGATGGTAACAGCAGTTTGCAGAAAGTGTTACATGTTGGTGATGATGTGTAAGTCTACTCCTTCTTGTCCTAACTGCAAATTCATGCACCCGACACCGGAGCCTGTGTCTCATGCCTTCAATCATTCAACAACTTGAGGGATGCTATATATCTATATATATTATGTATGTGTATATTATGTATCGATCGTTTGTAATAAGACGGAGAATGTGTAGTTGTATTTTGGTGATATTATTAGATTTGGATGGTGTGTAATGATTTCAAGTTTATAACCCTGAGTCAACATGCACGAGTAACTCTAAGTTTAAGCAATATTACCGATAACATTCACTAACTCTAAGTTCGATCACGTTTGTAAAAGTGAAAATAGATGAACTTTAATTCTACATGTAGCAGGTAATATTAGAAAAAGAACGAACTAGGTACAAATATACGAAAAGTAACAATGCAGAAATTTGCTATATCAATAACAAAAACAGGCCTTTGCATGTAAGAAGAAACTGATTATTGATCGATGAATTATTATATATATCTCAGCAAATATCAAATGAACAATAAAAGCAGCGTGAATGACATTTAATTCCTACCGTTGTTTGTTGTTCACCAATCAATAGTCTAAGTATCCGAGAATTTCCTAACCTGTTAAAAGGAGTTTTGCGATTCATTCCACCTTAAGGACGATCTTCATGAACTCGTACACAAAGAAGCTTATTGAAGCCGAAGGCAGTACCTGAAGTGTCATAAAAACAGGGGAATTAAGACAGAGATCCACATTTTGCAGTAAGAGAAAGATTAATAATTTTGTATACTTTAAAATATACCTGTAATAAGCTTGGAAGAAGACCTGCATAAAGAGCAGGAACACCACCTCGTTCAACTATCTTGATACACGTTGCTAATGAACTCAATTTAGTTGCTCGGCCTTGCAGTTGGAGCTGCCTTCTGACCACCTCAAAAGGGTAAGTAGCAACTTCCGCACAAGCACCAGCAATAGCACCGTGTAATAAAGTTCTGATTGGTCCTAATTCCAGCTGCTCAAAAGCGCTCAGTTCCTGATCGTGTTGTTTCATATTCTCAATTCTTTTTCTCCCTTCGGGTGAATGCAGATAGGCTGATTTCAATGTGTCGTAGACACCGTAAAAAACAGCGCCGGATGGTGCCATACTTAATATGGAAGGCAATAGCCCCTTGTATAGAGAAAAGACCCCTTCATTTTGTACAATGTGTCGGAAAGCTCCAATCACGCCACCCAATACTTCTCCACCAGGTGCCACCAGCCTGGTCCGGATCTGAAATACATATACACTAGTACTGAAATTTCTGACCATACGAAACACACGATATAGGTAAACCTGGTGTCCAAGTGCAGCCACATACAGTTTTTTTTCTTTTTTATATAGAGTTTATTCTCAAATTTTAGCTAAGAATCGAGCAAGTTAAGAAGATGCCACTTACAGTATCAAGCGGCAAGCAGAGCACTGTAGCTGTCATACCAGCAGCGGCACCAGCGATAAATCTCTCGGAATTTGTGGTTTCTTGGTTTCCAGATAATCTGAGAAGCTGCTTTCTGTACGTATCGTAAGCACAGAAATTAATTGCCTTGAAAGGAGCAGTGCGAAGTATATTAACAAAATTCCCCTTCCAAAAGCCTCTGAGGCCTTGTGTTGTAGCTATTCTGTTGACAAGATTGTATAGGTTACTCGTCTCGCCGCGAACTATATACTCCAGCTTTAGCCTCTCGAGCGGAGCAAGACAAGTTCTGTTTGGATAAACAAAACATTAAATTACGATCCTGTATTCGCAATTACCAACAGCAATAGTAGATTCATAATCCCCAATTGTAGAAATTTCACCACTCTAACTATTCGCAAAGCCATGGAAAATTGTAACAAACACGAATCAAATTGGGTTAAAACACAGCACTTAAGAAACTCAGGACTGCCAGAGAAGAGGAAAAATACCTAGAAACCATGGCGGCGGCGGCCCCAGCCCACAAATGCTTGGTGGTGTTCATGGCGCCGCTGCCTCGGCCCCTTAACCTAATCTTCACCCTTCTTTCCGACTTCACCGCAGCCCCAAACGCATCCTTACCCTCACTCGCCGCCGCACATTCATTCGAATTGATAATTGCTTCATCTTTCCCCTTAACAGACAAGCTCAAACACAGAAAATCGCCCCGTTTTCTCCTCGAGTACGCCGGGCAACTGTAACAACGAACTTCACCGCAAACCGTATTGATAACTGAAGAAGGAATTGAACCGGCATCCAGGAACAATCCACCGGAATAGAAAACCGAGTTCTTCGATGGTAAAACCGGATGAGATTTTTCGACCCGAATTTCAAATCCTGACATTTTTTCTTTTGTTTTGTACGTACTACAATTCAGCTCTAATTGGAGGGTTCAAATGTATAAACAGTTGACGTATCAATGCTTGACGATTGGAAGGCTTAGAGGCAAATCAACGACAAGGAGGAAACGACACCGTTTCGGCGGTGATTCCATGGCTAAACGCACACGGTTCAGTCTGCAGATTGCAACCCCAGTATCACAAATCACAATGCGCCTATGGTATGCCAATATATTATCCATTTATTACACATAAATTATTTAATCCCCCGCCCACAAGTTTTATCCAATTTTACCCCTCAAAGGACAAAAGTATATTAAACAAAATATTCTTTTGTATGCTGCCAATTTATCTAATTTAAAAACTAATCGGCATAATTACAAAAAGAACCCTCTGTTATAAACAACATAATGTTTGTTAAGGAAAGATGTAGTAAGCGGCAAGCTCGTCTTACGACCGTTGGAGGACGCGATCAGTAGATAACTTTCATAAATAAATAAGGAAAACGTGTAAATTATAATTCATGATTGAATAATCTGTGAAAATTTCGCCAAAAAAAGACTTTAAATTAGGCAATCCCGTACATAAACAAATGTATTAAACCCTACTACGGTTATGTGTTGATACACAATCAATAATACAGTTTTATACTTTTTTCCTCGAATTTTCTCTCTTTTTACTATTTCCCAGCTGTTTTGCTTCGTCTCCGTCGGTCATAGCTCCGGCGATAGGTGAGCCTTTCCGGCAGTGAAAGGATCGGAGTAGGTTCCGAAGAAGGATCTCGAGGGTGCAAATTTTTCTCCGTCAGCCATTATTAATTAGCCTAGCAAGTTCACTATGATGATCAACTGCTTCTTATGTAGTTGAGCCACTCGCGGAAACCAAAACCATAAACTGCTGTATAAATCACTATTCTCACCGGGTACAACTTCATCCTGCATTTACGTATTTTTTTATGTAAGAAAAGAAAAACAAAATAAAATTACCGCTGAAAATTAAACTAAACTACTCAATCGGTTCTTTAACATAATAATGAACCAAATTTTTTAACGCAATTTTTCTTTCGATTATTCGTGTTCGGCTCGACTAATTAAAGCTCGTTCGAGATTGATTCAGGTGCTTAATTATGACACCAATCTCAATTCTCAAATATGATTTTTTGAAACTCCATACCAAAAAAAATATATAAAAAAAAAAATCAATTATGTACAAGGGAAGATTATGCTACATATATGTATTTCCAAATTAAAAGATGGCTATATTTTCAATGTAAAAGTGTAATGTAATAGCGAATTAACAATTAGTTAATAAAGAAACTACCTTGCAGGCGGTGCAGATTGAGTGGGTCCGTCGTCGTCGTTGGCCCCGGAGACGAGGGTGCACCACTGAGAGAGAGGGCGGTCGAAGAACTTCCAATCGGGCAAAACGACGCCGCCGATAGCAAGCACGCCAAACAAGTAGGTGGCCGCTGTTTTCTTTAGAGATTGCGTGTACATCCCCGTCAACACCATTACTGCAGCCAACCAGACGAGGCAGATCCGCAGAACGGCGTCGTTACCCATGGGTGGATTAGGCTTTCAAGGGTGGCGAAGAAGATGAAGAAAACGGGGATTGAGAATTGAGATGGCCGGTGATGATTTTAAATGCGTACAGTTGTGGAGTGAGTTCAGTAAATGCGTCTTGGACTCAACCCAGAATATAGAGATATATATATGTATTATTTAAAAAAAAAATATTATTATAACAATTGTGCATGCAAATGAGCACGTTCATTAGGTATGGTGATCTTGCTTCGATGGTATCTCAGCAGGAATAAAATTTATAATGACAAATTAATTTGTTTAAATTGATTTATTTGTTAATAAATTTAAACTTCCCAATTCTCATTTAATTATGGTGAAATTCAAATCCAAATGCTGTAAATTTTCAAATATAAAAGAATTTAGGCTGAGAGAACTAATATTAGCAGCAGGAAAAAGAGTTCGTTAATAGCTACTGGAAGCATTAAGATACCAAGACAATACTTCACTTAACATATAATATATTTAGACACAAATTATTGTGACAAAGCCTGAGAGTTAAGACTAGTTCAGATTACATACAATTAAAGAGGATGCAATAACAGTTGTGTTGACTAATAGAGACCCGTCAATCAGAACGGATCCCACCCATGAAGGTCCTCGGGTCAGGGCAATCTCCAGAGAACTGAGCCTGCGAGAAGTCAAAACCCGGGTTCTGCAGAAAAAGAAAAAAAAAAGAAAAAAGGAAATTCGCATTATAAGAGATAATACGAAGTCCAATCTTCAAAATATTAATAGTGGCAAGTTTTTCAAGTTTCCCTAAATCTCGACGAATGTCAAATTCACACAAAAGTTTGTGGCATCAATCCGACATACCAGATTTAAACAAAGTATCTGCCACTCAATACAGTTATTTATCGACTTTGCAATGAGAGTGTGAGTGGCTTACTTACTACTGTCACCGTTGGATTTAAGACTTGTGAAATTCATTAAAGAACAGAATTGTCTATGTAGTCAAAATAGGGCACACCGCACACAGATTTTCATGTGCAACTAACCGACCCTAAACAATCAGTTTGCTCAGTGGGGCCACTTAATTATTGTCTTCGGTACGTGGTGGCCATGATCCACCACCACCAACCTTTTGGAAAGGATTTCAAAGTTTGGTGGAGAGCAAAAGAATTCCTCTGTGATTTATATTGAAGTTATTCGAGCAATAGATTCAAAATGCTCCAGGAATAGTTTAGAGGAATCTTTACCGATTCCTCATTCTTTGCAATAATTTAAGTAAAAGACTAAACTAGTTTTAACTTTTAAGGATTTCAGCGTCAAGAAATGCACCAGACGAAGTTGGAGCAAATTAACATGACATCACAGACGAATGGTAAATAAATGATGGGTCTCCTCACAACTACATGGCAGATGAATGATTGGCTAATTAGAACTTAACAACATTAAAAACCATACATAGTAATGCATACATATGAATTTGACTTGTCATAATTATAAAAGATGATACGTCACTTTAGGTATAATTGACAAACATGGATCAGAAGTAGTCTAGCTGAAATAGAGAGTTAAATGCGTAACTCAACAAGCAATAAGAATTAAGAACACAAGTTTTTCACCTAACTGTTAGCTGAAAAAGATTGAAATAACGAACCTCCTCTTGAAACCGTTGAAGCATGAGTCGCTTCTGTTCAAGATCTGTGGCGTATGGATCTAACTGGCCTTGACCCGTTATAGGTGAAGACCATGTCTTACCTTTGTCCCTCTTCTGCAAGGTTATGTGCATTATATCATCTTCTGCAACCACAAAAACCATAATTTAGCATTGGGTAGAAGTCATGCACGTGGAACCATAAATTCAACAATTGCTCTTTATTTTATGCTGTTGAGTCCTATTTTATCTGAAAAACGGATCAACTAACTCAGTCTCATCATTCTCTTTATACCAGTATAAGGAAATCATAAGGTAGTTTACAAGTAGGGAGGAAAAGAAAAGGAAAGAAATTTCAGCTTATTGGAATAAATTATCGGTTCGATAAACAAAATTCATGAAAGTAATGCTGCAATTTATAAGCACAAGAAGAACATACCAAGAGTCCAAAATGAAGAATCAGTCTTCACTGGGCCGGTAAAGTCATGCTGCAATGTATAAAAAGAACAAAGGAGATAAATTTAATAACTCCCTAAAATGCATTTGCATTCAAGAAAAATCCGATACAATTAGAGAAAAATGAGGGGTTTAACTGACATTAAGATAGGGAGGGTTGCCTTTAATCCCAACTTCAACGTGTTTGGAGTCAATCCTGCAGTAGAATAGCTTCTTCGGAACATCAGGTGGAAGCGTTATGTACATGTTTACCTCTTCCAGTGTTTGGTCCCAATCAAACACCTTTTGACCTGAAACCCCAACATTCCGACAAATTCACCATCTTAATTACATTCAAAAGCTATTATTATTACTCGGAAGGGCAAAAATACCATTATGGATGAAGCTATGACTTTTCTCAGGAGCCAATTTCTCTGCCATTTTTCTTCGTTTCCTCAACTCCGATTTCCGATTTACTTTTGCTTCGTTCGGTGCAGTCTATCAGTGGTTCAGCTTTGGACCTTGAGTGAGAACAAAGAGCAACATCATACGTTGATAAAATTGAATTAAAACAACAGCACTGTCAAATTTCGGCGACCTAATTCACAGTATAACGTTTAATCTCTATAAATTTCATAGCATCATTTTTCATGGGAGGACACAACAAATTTGGAGAAGGTTATCACGAAAACATAAGACAACACCAAAAAGAGTGGGTTTCACATCTAGAATCCATCCAATCAAATTCGTCAATCTCAATCGGAAACTAATCAGAAAACTTCGCAATTCAGTGAGGGAATGAATAGGCTGAAAAAATATACCTCGGGTGAAGAAGAAGAAGAAGACGGCGGGTGGCGCGGCGGAAGACGATCGTCGACGGAGGCGATATTGATTTTGATTTTTCACCCTCGAGGCATTCATTCACAGAGAGAGAAGTAATCCCAAATTGAGTTAATACAGAACTTATCGTAAATTACATTGAGACCCTTGAGGTTTGACCGAAATACATGAACATCCTCCAACTCTTTGTTAATTACTGGATTACCTCCATATTAGTGGTGTGGGTATAATTATTAATCATTTCAAATATATTTTGCGTCTATTAATATTTATAAGAGTTTAATATAATAATATTATGTTAATGAATAGCGATAAATAATATATGTTTGACTGAATAATTTGCTATTGGAATAGATCCATAATTTTGTGAGGATTACAATTAATTTTCAAAGATTAAGATAAGATTGATACCAATTATTTCGAAAGTGAAACATCTAAAAAAAGTTAGCTGGAATATTTTATCCATATAAGCCATGACAACCAACATTTCAACATTATAATAATTTCAAATAACTAAATAAAACAACTCAAATTGTTAGCCAATAATTTAAAACTAACCGCAAAATAAATTTAATAAAAATTACTGCTTTTAATTTGAAATTTCCGCTTCCAAATCATTCCACTAGAAATAAAGTTAAACACGTACACATGCAAATAAAAATAATGGTAAACCCTAGAGTGACGTACTCATTCATAGATAATATTTATTCCTTTAAATTATATTTATATATAAATAAATTAACAAAAAAAAAAAAAGATGCTTGATTCTTTTTTTCAACAAAGACGCAGACAAACACATTGAAAAGGGGCATGGTGTTATTTCATTTTAAGATGTCCCATGCTTGGAAAAGGGATGAGCTCCCAAATCACTTTCAACTTACCAATAATTCAATTTAAACAAATAAATAAAGTTGTGACTTTTATTTTTTGATTTAAATTATAAAGATATGAATTGTGACCAAGTTCGCTGGAATAAAAAAAAAAGAAGGATTGAATTATACCAAAGTGATTTAAATTTTTTTTTTAATATTTTCCACCCTGTCAATTGTGGAAGGATTAGGGAAGGCACTAGACATAGATTTTGTTTTGTTGCCCAGGATATAATAGGATAGATAAGAAAGTAGGATGCAGAAAATAAATAAATAAAAAATCTTTTTTTCATAAAATAAATAAATAAAGTTGTGGCTGCAGCTTCTCCATTAATTTTCTTCCCAACCCCACTACGTTTAACCAATCGCATTTCTCAGTTGTGTTTTCTCTCTCTATCCCCCTCTCTCTCTCTCTAAAGAGGACTCTGTTCTTCTGTACTCCCAATTGTGGTAATAGTATTCACTTTCAGGCCTATCAAGATTCACTCAAACTCTCTGTGAATTTATTTCTTTCCCCAAAAATATCGTCTTTTTTTCATCAAAGTTACATACAAAGAAGACAAGTTCCTTTTTTTTTTCTTTTTTTTTTTTTGGCAAAAAAATAAAAATCAGTTCTTTGGAGCTTATATGCAGTTTTCATGGTCTACTTTTTGATGTTTTCAAGAACAGCCACAACAACCATGGGGGTTTGGACAGCAGCAGATTCTCTGTCTGAAATTGTCTACATAGAATAATAGAAGACAAGTGTCTTTTTTTATTTAATTTTATATAATTGTTTTGTCGTAATTTGAAGATTGGTGATGGGAAGTTCAGGTAGTGGATGCAGCATAGTATGGTTTAGGAGAGATCTGAGGGTGGAAGATAATCCGGCACTGGCGGCCGGAGTAAGGTCCGGCGCCGTTATAGCGGTGTTCATATGGGCACCTGAAGAAGAAGGGCATTATTACCCAGGTAGGGTTTCGAGGTGGTGGCTTAAGCAGAGCTTATCACACCTTGACACCTCTCTCAAAAGTCTCGGCACCTCTCTCCTCACTAAGAGATCTGCAGATAGCATTTCTTGTCTTCTCCAAGTCATCAAGTCCACCGGTGCTAAGCAACTCTTCTTCAACCATCTCTATGGTCTCTCTCTCTCTCTCTCTCTCTCTCTCTCTCTCTCTCTCTCTCTCTCTGTGATTTCTTGATTGAATTGTGGTAAAATATGTCAGAATAAATATTATGTGTGTGATGAATTTTGGTTGTGTTGTATACTTTTAGATCCTATATCACTGGTTAGGGATCATCGGGCGAAGGAGGTTTTATCCGCCGAAGGTGTGACCGTGCGATCGTTCAATGCGGACTTGCTTTACGAACCGTGGGAAGTTCTTGATCATGAAAATCGACCGTTTACTACTTTTGCTGGTTTTTGGGACAGGTGTCTTAGCATGCCTTATGATCCTGAATCTCCACTTCTACCACCGAAACGAATTATCTCTGGTACGAGTAATTTTTCTCATTCTTTTTCAATGATCAATAACTTGTATAGACAATACATGGATAACTTGATCTCATAAGCCGCTTAGTGGATGGAGTTCTTATTACAAACATAAAAATGCAGTCTTTAAATTATCAAAGTTGATCTATTGATACTGAGAAAAGTGAAAACAAGAATTACCGAACGGAGATACTTTACGTAATTTTCTTTTAATGCGATATTATTTTCCGAATTTGCATTCAAAAAAAGGTGCTGCTTTCCTCTCGTATCCATACAGGTGATGTCTCTAGATGTGCTCCAGACACTATAATATTCGAAGACGATTCCGAAAAAGGAAGCAACGCGCTCCTCGCTCGAGCATGGACACCTGGCTGGAGCAATGCTGACAAAGCCCTAACAACATTCTTAAACGGGCCCCTCATAGAGTACTCGAAGAACCGCAGAAAGGCCGACAGTGCAACAACCTCACTACTCTCCCCACACTTGCACTTCGGCGAACTAAGCGTTCGGAAAGTCTTCCATCTCGTTCGAATAAGGCAAGTCCTGTGGGCAAACGAGGGCAACCAAGCAGGCGAAGAGGGGGTGAATCTTTTCCTCAAGAGTATCGGGCTTAGGGAATATTCCCGATACATGAGCTTCAATCACCCTTACAGCCACGAGAGGCCCTTGTTGGGGCATTTACGGTATTTCCCGTGGGTTGTGGACGAGGGCTATTTCAAGGCGTGGAGACAGGGCAGAACCGGATACCCTTTGGTGGATGCCGGCATGAGGGAGCTGTGGGCCACGGGGTGGCTGCATGATAGGATACGAGTCGTCGTCTCGAGTTTCTTCGTTAAGGTTTTGCAGCTGCCTTGGCGGTGGGGTATGAAGTACTTTTGGGATACTCTGTTGGATGCTGATTTAGAGAGTGACGCCCTTGGTTGGCAATATATTTCCGGTACCCTTCCGGATGGTCGCGAGTTCGAACGAATCGATAATCCACAGGTATCAATTCTCGATTTCACCATTTTTGTCTTTCTCTTGCTCTGTTTTTACCCTGTTTTGCAAGTTTCTTGTTTTTTATTCTACTGTTTTCTTTTTTTCTTGCTCGGTTTTTGCTCTATTTTCCCTCTTGTTTGGTTAAGTTTTCTTGTAATTATTCGACAGTTCGAGGGCTACAAATTCGACCCCCATGGAGAGTACGTCCGGCGGTGGCTTCCAGAACTTTCCAGGCTCCCGACAGAATGGATACACCACCCATGGAACACGCCGGAATCAGTCCTCCAAGCCGCCGGAATCGAACTCGGCTCAAACTACCCTCTCCCCATAGTTAAAATCGACGCCGCCACCGCCAGGCTGGAAGAAGCCCTCTCGCTGATGTGGCAGCAAGAAGCAGCTTCAAGAACCGCCGCCGAAAACGGAATGGAGGAGGGTCTCGGAGATTCTTCCGATTCTACCCCTATAGCATTCCCTGCCGACACAAACATGGAAATGGACAACGAGCCAATCAGAAACAACCCTACAAACGGAGCCACCCGTAGGTACGAGGATCAAATGGTACCGAGCATGACCTCGTTTTCCATTAGAATCGAAGATGAAGAAACATCGGTCGATCATCTTCGAGACAACAACAATAGTAGAGGTGAAGTTCCGTTCAATGTAAACGCAAACGTAAACGCAACGGGTGAGCAAAGAGAACAAAGAAGAGAGAATGTCATGCAGACAGATGCAACAAGGGCCCCACCGCAGCAATATAATTTCTCGAGAGGGGGTCGTAGAAATTCGGAAGATTCGACAGCCGAATCGACCAATAGCGGTAGGAGAGAGAGAGACGGTGGCGTGGTCCCCGTTTGGTCACCCTCGAGTTCTGCTTACTCAGATCAGTTCCCCGTTGACGATAATAATAATAATAACAACGGTACTAGTTCGTCGTACATGCAGACTCACCAGCTGTTGAACTGGAGGAGGCTTTCTGAAAACGGGGTAAGCTCGTAAAAGAATTAAAGTGTAATGGAAACAAAGTGAAATAAGAAAGTTGTCTGTAATCGAGTAGCATCGATCGGTGATCGAACGGTGTCCTTTTCTTTTTTTTTTTTTTTTTTTTTTATATATGTTGTGAATGGATCAGGTGGTGGTTGGTTCGGTTCATATGTGTCTTTGATTGTTATGGTGATGTACAATATTTTTGTGTTAGTTATGATGTACAGTATTTATTTATATATTAGTATTTATATATTTATATATTGTTTCTCATTATTATTATTATGCTAGCATGCTTGCTGGGACAAAAAAATATGATCAAGGTAGGAATGTGAAAGACTTGTGAATAAATGCAGGTTTGTGCTCTTCTCCATATATATATATATTGTTTTGTTGATGAAATGCTGATTTGATTATTGTGAATTGGTTGTTTTTCACTAAAAAACGTTGTTTAGTAGAGTAACGCTTATGAGGTTATGGAAACATGGTATTCTAAAATATATATATATATTAATAGGCCAAATTACGGCCACCCCGAGTTATGGTCGTGAAAATCCTCTTCTATTTGGGTAATTACAGTCACCTCCTCAACTATGTATTATCTTACGAAAGGACCCCTCTAGAGTTAAATTTAGAGATGTTAATTCGATAAAACCGAACCGAATTTTCAGTACGCCACAGTTTACCGAACTAAATATACGATTTGGTTCGGTAAATAATCGAATTACATAAATTTTATGTACAAATATTAAAAAAAAGGGTAAATGTAATTTACCCAAATAAGAGATTTTCTACAAAATACATGTTAAAATACATTTTCAAGAAATGGGTCAGTGACAAGAATTTAGTCTGGATTGCATTGGGAATGGTTTATAATATAATATTTAAGATGGAGGTGCAAAATAAGATTAAACCTGGTACAAAGATACACTTTAATAATCAAAATTTTATTTGTTTATGATATCTTTCTTTTTGTATTACCAGATGTAATATGGTTTTTATAGAATCTACGCATATGAAGAAGTAGCAGTGTTTTAAAATTCGAACCGGACGCGTCAGTTGAACGGGTTAAACCGCGAACCATTGCATTCATTGCATTGTTCGGTATGACTTAACCGATTTAACGTTATATTTGCCTAAAATTGTGGATTTTTTTTTAAATAAACAGATAAAATAACTAAAACAACGTCATTTTGAATATAAAAACGAGCATCTGCGGAGTTAAATAATAAACAAAAGATATAATTTTGAATATAAAAACTAAAATTAAGATTTTTTCAAATTTCCTTTTTTTTTTTTTTTTTTTTTTTCTCTTTTTCTAACAACCATTCACCAGCCTCCACGTCTCAAATGGAGAAGTAATTGACGGTGCCCAACTGCCAATTTAATTTGTCCTCTGACTAGTGTGCTAGGGCTCAATATTATTATTATAATTCTCAAGAACCAAATAATATAAACTGGACCTATTTACTTTTTCAAAATTCGTTTTTTGGATTTTCAATTTATTATCACAATTACTTTTCTTGTACTACTTTAATGAGTTTGACAGCAAATTTAAAAATAGTGCCTAATTATAAAAGTCACATTATGAATTTTTCATAAGGTACTGTTGTTGTCAGATATATATATACATATATATTGAGACAGTCCACATGTGTAGTAACATTAACTACTTACCTGCCCACAACATTTGAATGCCTATCAAACTTGTTACAACTAAAAGTTCATATATTTAATTCTTACATTAATTCGAATATTAATTATAAATACAATTAATCAGATATTATAAAAAGAATTGGAAGATTAAGATTAATATTGTTCTAGTAAAAGTGGAAGGAAACACAGAATATAATACCATGAGATAAGATGTGATATATACAAAAGCTTGTCTTCTTTATTGTAGGGACTGAACATAGAATTTAGATTAAATTAAAAAAAATAAAAAATAAAATACTATTTCAATCAGAATTTTTTATATTATTATTTTATTTACTTTAAACAAGATTCTGTTGTGCAGATATTTTATTTTATTAAAACTGTCACGTCAATTAAATATTTAAAACATGAGTGATATATATATATATATTGCTAATTTATTAATGAAGAATTCTCTAGCATCTGCCCATCCCCTCAGCATTAACCACCACCACCAGCACCACCACTTTCACCACCGACAACCACCGCCGCAGAACATCTAAGCTAATCTCCGCCGCCCTCTTTCTCACTCACACACACACCCGCACGTGTGTGTGTGTGTGTTCGCGCGTCAATGGCCAAGTCAAAGTGCTTCAGCTTCACAGCATCAAGAAACTGGTGCTTAAGATCCACTTTCACCAATTCGGGTCTCCGGCCGTTCTCCGCCGACCTCGGCGACGGCACCGTAATGTACTGCTGGGTGCCGAAAACCCCAAACCCGACCCGACCCAACGTGGTCCTAATCCACGGGTTCGGAGCCAACTCAATGTGGCAATTCTGCGACACGGTCCCGTACTTAACCCCACACTTCAACGTCTACGTGCCGGACCTAGTCTTCTTCGGCAACTCGGTCACGACTCGGTCGGACCGGACCGAGTCGTTCCAGGCCGAGTGCGTGAAGCGGGTCATGGATGCGAACTCGGTGGGTAAGATGTCGGTGGTGGGTCTGAGCTACGGCGGGTTCGTGGCGTACAGCATGGCGGCGCAGTTCGGGGAGTGCGTGGAGAGGGTGGTGATCTGCTGCGCCGGGGTGTGCTTGGAGGAGAAGGATTTCCGCGAGGGGATGTTCCCGGTGGCTGACGTGGAGGAGGCCGCCGCCATACTGATGCCGCAGAAGGCGGAGAAGATGAGGGAGCTTGTCGGCTACACCTTCGTTAAGCCGCCGAGGGGGCTGCCGTCTTGTTTGCTGGAGGACTTCATTGATGTAATTAATTAAATCTCTCCTTTTTCTTAATTTTCGTTTAATTACTCATCAAAATGGCTAATTAATAACTAATTAAACAATTTTATTTATTTATTATTTTATTATTTATTGGGAAGCAAAATGACTACCCATCCTGACCCATCATTAGTTAGATAAGACACGTGGATGCGAATTGAACCAAATATTTAACTAAACCATATATTTCATTATCGGTTTATACTATGTTACATCGGGTAGATCTTTATCATTTATATACACACAAACACACACACTCATATTAGTGTGTATAGATCAAGAGTAAAAAATCACCCGGTGTAACCTTCACCGGGTGTAGCATAGAAATGGGTTGGATTATTCATAAGTATTTAAAAATATTTAATAGAAAAGTAGAAATTTAATTATAAAATTGAATATAATGCTGTAATAATGTGGGCAGGAAATGTGTAATGAATACGTTGAAGAGAAGAAAGAGCTGCTTCGTTCCATTGCTAAAGACAAAGACCTCCCCAAGATTTCTCAGGTACTAATTCAGTTAAAAATATTTCACTAATCCAATTTAATTTTTATTTTATTAAAAAAAATTGCAGCCAACTTTAATAGTGTGGGGAGATAAAGACAGGATATTTCCCATAGAACTTGCTAACAGATTGAAAAGGTATATTAACTTAATTAATAGCTATAGATTAATCTTTTTTAATAGTTTAATTAATTAATTACGTTTATGTTGGATTAAACCCGATTTTGTGGTAATTTGCAGGCATTTAGGAGAGAATGGAGAATTAGTAGTAATAAAGAACACAGGGCATGGGTTTATCAATGAGAAGCCTAAGGAGTTTCACAGGCATTTGAAAAGATTCCTCTTAGCTCAACAAAAGATTCCCCCTCTAAACTCTACCACTAATATTCCCATTAATCATCAAAATCATATTTAATTATATGTTATTCACATTATATTATATATATTATTTTATTTTATTTTTGGGCACGAGAGAAAAAGGCAAACAATGTTGCTGTTATTAATGTAATTGTTAGCCAAATATTATGCAGTGTTCATGAATTATAGGTGTTTTCTTTTTATAGTTTTTCATGTTATACATGCCATAATTTTAAAGGGTATTTTGGAATTTCTATCAACAATTTAGGGTAAATTACAGTCACCCCTCATTTTGGAAAATTAGAACCACTCACTCACTATGAATCTTCGTACACATCCACCCTTACAATGTCAAACTTAGTAGAATATAATTGAGTTTATACGTGTTTTACCCCATTCGAGTTTCTCCACACTTTAAAACAAAATGATCATAAATTGTATCTCTTGACTCGTAAGTATCGGATTGCGGTGCATCAAACACATCATTTTCACACAAAATTTTTTGTTAAATTTAACACCATAATGATGGACGTGTAAAAAGTTTCGTAGTTGAAGGGATTATTGTAATTACCAAAACATGAGGATTTTTTTCGTAATTAGATCTTACCTCAGGAGGTGGCCGTAATTTACACAACAATTTATTATACTCTTTATGCCATGAGAGATTGCTAATACTACACAATACAAGAATAATACAATCATAAAATAAAAAAGAGCAAAGTGTGTGGTATAAAATGCTGGTATATATTCAGCAACATTATTCACACGCATAAACGCACGTGTGGCACGATATAAAATGCTGCCCTTTTAACAGCTATCACTACATAAACATGTAACAATCCGAAAGGTCGAATTTGGGGAAGAAAAAAAAAAGTGAAATCGAAACTCATCACAACATTATGTAGTAGTATATTATTAGTGCAACAAAAGAAAAATTCAACAATTTCAAGATACCTTGCATGATAATGCATAAAGTACAAGCCAAATCACGATTCAATTCCCGCTCTGTTTCATGCAAATAAAATAAAAAGTTCGAAATGCGAAAAAGAAAAAAAAAAGTCACCATCCCAAACCGATCAGTTTTTGCTGTGTGCGATGCGGATCCAACTAGCTCTGTAAAGTCGAAAACCATAATAAAATGATTTAACAAACAGTAATATCGAACATAAAACTAATAAGAAGCTAGCATTATTAAACGCAAATTACATCACATGCCACTGTCAAATTATTACCTCTCCATGGGAATCATCGCCCTTCGACTGCTCACCTGTCACACAAACGTAAAGTTTTTATTAATTATTTTTATCTTAATTCAGAATCAAGAAAAAAAGATTACCCAAATAAAATAACAAGATACATATCCGACTTTTTTTCGAACATTCTCCAGATATACATACCTCCATCTTCCGGGAGATCCGAGGTCCACAAAGTAAGATTATCTCGAAGAAGCTGCATAATGAGAGTGCTATCTTTGTAGGATTCCTCATTCAGACTATCGAGTTCTGCAATAGCTTCATCAAAGGCTTGTTTGGCCAGGTGGCAAGCCCTGCCAAAAATATCCCAGTATTTTCAATAAATCAAAGTTAAGGAATAAAATTCGAACACTGATACGCATTATAAAGGCACAGCCAAACAAACCTCTCGGGAGAATTCAGGATCTCGTAGTAGAAAACAGAGAAGTTAAGTGCCAAACCAAGTTTAATCGGATGCGTAGGAGCAAGATCCGAAGCAGCACTAGTTGCAGCCTTCAATATAAGAAGAAAAAATATTTTTTTTTAATAATATATATATTTATAAAGTTAATTAAATTAAAGAGAGAAAATTAAAATACCTCATAAGCCTTGAGTGACTGGTCTGCTGCATCTTTTCGACCGTCTCCCGATTTGAACTCTGCTAAATAACGACAATAATCTCCCTTCCTAATAATTCAATTAAACAAACAAATCATTAAGAAGAAGAATAATAATAATTTATCATTAATTTAACAATAAAAAGATGCTCACATTTTGTAGTAGAAAACGGAGGATTCCCCGGTAGAGGAAGAAGGAAGGAGATGTTCGTCGATGACAGCTAAAATATCCATGCATATTTTAGTGAGTTCGTCTTCGACTCCTTGTCTGTAACTCTTTATTCTCTTGACATTGAGTTCGTGCCCTTTATTATCCTCTTTCTGCTCGATGGACGACAAGATTCTCCAAGATGCTCTTCTTGCTCCTATTACATTCTTGTACCCCACAGATACTAGGTTTCTTTCTTCGACTGTCAGCTCCACATCCAGCCTCGCAACTTTTTTCATCGCTTCCACCATTTCTGTAATCCAAATGCAATCTCGTTATCTTAATACTAGATTTATTTTCCGAGTCGGTTTCAAAAATCAGAATTCTTTAATCGAAATGCAACCTTGTATTTCGATATATATCCAGGTCTATTCATATATTTCGGTATAAAATGAAGCTCGAAATCATGTATATATGTAATAAAAGAAACTCGTGTACAGATCTAACTGATTCTAGCATCATAAACTCTATCCAATCCATAAAATCAAAAAGTAGTCCAATCAAAGAATAAAAGCCCTAATTGTACCCTAAAAAAAAACCCCTAATCCAATCAAGAACAAATTAACCCAGCACACCACGCAAACCAAATGAAAATGCAATTGGAATCTTCTTACTATAGCTGAGAAACAAAAACATCCATCGTTCTCATATTCGAACAGCAGAAATATAAACAGATCCAACAATTATTTGAATTTAAGGTACTCAATACCTAGAACTATTTTCAAATCCGCAACAAAACCCACAAGTAAAACCCCCAAATTGATCCAGAACAAAGATATAAATCCATCATTTCTCTAGAAATTGACAAAATGAAGTGTATATACGTCACGAAAATACAGAAATTGAAAAGGATTAAGATGAAGATTACCATCGTATCTCTCAGCCTGCTCTGCAAGCCTAGCCAAGTAAACCAGCTGCTCTCTCTCTTTCTCCATATCTCTCTCTCTCTCTCTCTTCTCTCTCTCTCTTAATTTCTCTCTCTAAAAAGGAAGACCTTGTTTGCTTTTCGTTGTTGCGGCTTTGGTGACTAGATTTTACAATCGAAAGTGTTGGAAATTTTTGCCTTTGTAAATCGCGAAGAGGGACTCGGTGAAATGTGGACCGTTGATTGAGTTGTCGGTCACATGTCTGATGTATTATTGACTAGGATTGTACATCTTCTGACCACTGTCAATAATTGCTTCCCTCAGGTTCCCACCCATACGGTTCCTGCAGTTTATATTAATCATTTTTATTATTGCCATTTTTATCCTTTTTTCTCTGATACGACACCCATTTTTTAGCAACTTATTAATTAGGTATGATTAGATCGACATTAACAATTTGTTGATAATTTAAAAATTATTTATATTTTAATTAAGTCAAATATTATTTTTTTTCTTTTTTTTTAAATTAATTTAGTTTGTTATTATTTTTTTATTCAAATATATATGGCAAAGACTTTTCACTTGATAAAAAATAGGCAACTTGTTAACCCACTACACCTGTAATACGTGCCCCACTAGAGTTGAAAATAGATGGAAATGATTGGTGGTGTAGAATATTAGTATTTAGTTGGTAATATTATTATTCCCAAAATTAAAATAAAATAAATAAATCATTTGTCAAAGTATTGATTGGATAAACACAAATGTGAAGGGGAATAAAGTGTGGTCTGCCACTAGCTTAATTAAATGGGTTTATTAGGGATAACCCCCTTGTTCATATTTTCTAATGAGGTAGATCCAATTAATTTTTCCGTTTTTGAGATACACCCAAATTTGCCAACTTGGCAAAATATATTATATAATTTCCCTTTAATACCCCTGTTTTATTTTTGAACGGCATTTATTTCCTTAACTACGTGATATGAGATTTGCTGATATGTTGCCTAAAATCACGGAATAAATACGTGAGTTTATTGGCCGTTTCTATCAAATCGTGTACAATCTGTTTTGAAGATTTTCTCCAGCGTTTCATCGTTTTTCTATCGTCTTTGAAGATTTTTTCACCGGCGTGGAAATAGGATCGGATTTGAGCGTTCATTGTTGTACGTTGTTAAGCGGGTATGAATGCGTTTTTTTTCGTTTTTTATTTTCGTTTTTTATTTTCGCTGTAGCGTTCATTGTTGTACGTTGTTAAGCGGGTATGAATGCGTTTTTTTTCGTTTTTTATTTTCGCTGTATGTCCAGGGTTGTCGTGTACGGTGGTTAGACATTTTTAAGAGTTGTGTTGATACTTGATTCTATTAAGTAGAACGTTTTTAACAAAATTACGTCGTCACATATACATCGTTATTTTTGGCTGATGATGTTTGTTTGGAAGAGGATTCACAGAGTTATAAGAGGATGGTTCACGCAGTCGGACCAGAGTTGTTTTATTTGAGCGTCGTAGTTGGTTTATGCAATAATCGAAATAAATGTCTGCTGTGGTCGAGTTCATGAGTTTGATCCATATTGATAGTTGGTTTATTTGTTTACAACAGTCGATTTTAGTGTGCTCGGTAGTACATTAAAATATATTTCGTAGTCTTTTTTAATTTAGCGTATGGATTTTGCATTTAAAGTTTATTTTTGATGATATTAATGTATTGTCATTCAAATGTATTTGCAGTCTATTTAATCATTTTTTAGTATTCTGCAT